TAATTCTTACAAAAAAATCCATACACACCAATTTTAATGTTTGGCTAAACAATATAATAATTCAAACAAAAAGAAAATCAACTTTGATCTCTAGCTTGGAAAAGTGAGGAAAAGAAAAACTTCTGAATTTCAAAAAAAAAATCGGCGATACCAATGGAAGTAACCAATAGTAGGACAAGCAGTGGCAGCATACAGTAGTAGCAGGAGTCAGCACCAGACAACAGTAGCAGCAAAAATACAACATTAACAGCAAAAAACAGCAGTAGTAGTAGCCTGCTCCTATTTTTGCTGGCTGATGCAGTTTGTGGTGTAGTGGTAGGAGAGGTCGTTCCTAGGGAGGTGCACACCCTCTCTGATTTCTCTTGTCTTCCTCAATTTGCTTTGCTAGCTTGTCAAATCTTCTTATACCTACAAGCATAAACACAAACACACACAAAAGAGGCGGCAATGCCAAAATACAACTTCTATATATACAAAAGGAATTAGAGAGAGGAGAAAAGTAGAAGAAATAATTATAAAAGCTAGTTAAGATTACTACAATCAGTGGACAAATAAACCACTTAGCAATCATGAACCAGACCATGTTTAGATTTCTAATCAAACATACGAGAGGTATCTGCCCAAGTAAATTGAAGACATTTAGAGGAACAAATGCTCAATAGTCAGCTTCTAATATATTAACGAAATGGAATATAAACCTAAATTAAATAAAGCAACCTTGTCATTAAACTGCATAAACAAGAACACTTTTATGAAACTAAGATTAAATCCCTATACCAATAAAAGGAAAGGGAAAGCAAAACTACCATAATTCCTACACATTCTCTACTACCTGCACCAAGTGGAGTCACCAAAATAGCTGGTGCAAAAGCATAGGATGCAAATTAGAAATTTCCCGAACAACCACTGCAAAAAAGTCATTTACATCACATATCTTGAAAGGCAAGGCCTTGATGAACAAATTACAAATTCAAGTCATTATGTGGGATGCACATGTCACTTGATCATATCTATAAATGTCCATACTTAGACAAAATACAAGTAAGCAATAAAACTACTATGAATTATACTAATGAAGTTAAGACTAATACTATTTAACCAATAAAACTACTAAATAAGACTACTCTGAATTCTACTAGAATAAAACTACTCTAAATTCTACAAGTAAGCAATAAAACTACTAAATAAGATAAGACTAATACTATATAACCAATGTTTTAGTTAATTAGTAGTCTTGATATGCTAACAAGCAGTAACATACAAGCAATGCGTAAAAAAAAAAAAGAAAAGAAAAAAGAAATAATTGTCAATTATATAGTCGGGCACCCGAACAGTTGAGCATAGATATAAAACTCTCATTCCAATTATATACCTCTTTAAATAGACATTTTATACACAATCAGGTTTCAAAATGCATCAACAATAATTGTCACAACCAAGTATTTTCCTAAACCTTCCAATTATCAAGCATATAAGAGTATAGTGCGTTGACAATTATATAAACTATTAAATTTAATATTGGTTGATACCTCCTTTGAGCTCTTTGTCAATGCCTTTGCAAAAGTTTGCCTGAAAATACTCTTTGTCAGTATTATAGAAAAATAACTCAAAAGTTAATTTACTACTCCCAGCAAACTAATTTGACAAAAAAAAAAAAAAAAAAAAAAAAAACAGTCATATTGTGAAACTTCCTTGAGAAAATCGGATACATAATTGTCGAATTTAATTTAATTAACAGAAAAATCAAATTAAGAAGTGACATCAAATAGCTTGATAGAAAAACTCAAAGTCTAATGATGACGTATGATTGCAATTAAAATAAAATTGAACCAAACTATGTAAAAAAATTCCAGAAATTATAAATATAGTTAAGAAATTTAACGATTGAAGAAGACAAACCAAACCTAGCAATCGTCTCCTCTTTGTATTTTGATCGTCTTTTCCCTAATTTGGTGAAGCGTAGAGAAAATTCTTTTGATCTCCCTAAACCAAGCCCAAATTTCACAAATTAGGAAGAATGTTTTCGAAATTAACCACAAATTTTTGTTAAGCCCTAGAATATCGAGCTAAAGAAGAGAAAATGTGAGAATTTCATAAATGAAGGCTCGCAAAACCCTAGAATACCGAGCTAAAGAAGAGAAAATGTGAGAATTTCATAAATGAAGGCTCGCAAAACCCTAGAATACCAAGCTAGAGAAGTGAGAAAAGGAAAGACGACAGAGAATTTGTGGGCGGCATTGGTTGCGGCTGCGGCCGTTACTCCGTGAGCCTGCACCTTCAACATCGAGGAGATAGAGAGAGGCTATTTGAGATAGAAACCGCTATCTCATAAATTCACGATTAACTTCCCTTTCCTTTGCTGCCTTTTTTAGAAAATAAAAAATATTAGAAGTAAATAAAATATTCGGATATTTTTCCCTCAAAAAAAAAATATTTGGATATTTCACCAAATACTTGTGAGTTATTTTTTTTATTCACCTTATATCTAGAAAATTTTCACCAAATGACCAATGGATGTTAACTCCGTTAGTCATTAAGGGTTAAGTACGCCACATGGCTGGATCTAATTGGTTATTTTTAAAAATTATTTAACTAAATATTATATATATATTTTTTAAAAAAAAAACTAAATTAAAATTTCAAAAAAAAAAAATCACCTTTAACCCCAACCTGTCACCTTCTAATGGCAAACCCTAAGCCCAGCCACCACCCCACAACCGCCACCCATCAGCCTCCTCACTATACCGATGCCGCCCCTTCCACCAACCCCGCGCTGGTGCTCGCTCCTTCCTCGAACCACCACATTATTTTCCCTCCTTGGTTTGAATCGCAAAACCCCTCACCGCCGAACAACCTAAGCCGAAAATCTAGCAACCACCCCCGAAAACCCTTTCGTCGACAGCCCAATCCCTTCCCCCACACCGCTGCTACCCACCTAAGTCGAAAACCACCACCATGAAACATTAAACCCCCAAAATCAAAACCCTAGGTTTTAGTTTTGGGGGTTTTTGATTTTGGTAATCCACGTGGTGTTTCATGGGGTTGGAGATGGCAGGGGGAGGGGGATTTGGGTTCGTCGGTACTCTTAGCCGAAAACTACCACCCCTAAACATTAAAACCCCAAAATCGAAACCTTAAAAATCAAATCTAGGGTTTCGATCTTGGGTTTTTCATTTTGGGGTTCGGCGTGGTGGTTCAGGGGATGGATACGACTGGGGGGGGGGAGGTGTGACTTGGGTTTGCTGGCATGGTGATGGGAATTCGGACACCGACGGTGGGGAAGGGAGGGGTTTTTGAAGAAGATATTAAGGGGCTTTTAAAATTGGGGAGTGGGTGGTTTGTGTTGGGTTTAGGGTGGCGGTGGCTTAGCGGTGTGGGCTCGTTTGTGTCGGGTTTGGGGTGGCACCGACGCTAGGGTTTTGACGGAAACCACGCCGGCGGGTGGTGGCTGGGCCTGGGCTGTGGTTGTGGTTATGGTAGGTGAGTTATGTTTTTTTTATTTGTTTATTTTTTTTTATAATTAATTAGATTGTTATTTTAAGGGTTTTTCTAAGCTATACCCCTTAGGTATTCGAGTTTCTAAGGTGTGCCCATGCTTTTTCAAGTTTCCAAGTTGTGCCCCTCAACTCACTACCATTAATGAATGGTACCCTCCTTGGTATTTCCACGTCACCTAAAGTTAACTATAAATTTAATAGAAAGATGATAAAAGGTAAGGAAATGTTAGGAGAAAGAAATCTTAGCCATCGCAACCCTAATAATGAAAAGTGAAGTCACGAAATCACACTCTCAAATAACTTTTAAACAACTAATAAAAGTACATTTTAGTATTGATAAGGAGTTGAAGGGCACGGCTTAGACACTTGAAAAAGCATGGGTACACCTTAGAAACTCAAATACCTTAGGGGTATAGCTTAGAAAAACCCTAAAATTTAAATTATATAAATAACAACTAATCGTAGGTTGCCACGTGGCAAATTTAGCTCAAGGGCATTTGGTGAAATTTCCGTAGAATATTTGATAAGAAAAAAAAAAATGATTGAGCGTAGGTGTTACGACCAAGTGTTACCTAATATCAATGTGTTACAACAAAGTGTTACCTAATATTAAATTGTTACAAATAATGTTACCTAATATCAAAGTGTTACAGAAAAATCAAACAACCATAAAAATTTTAAAGTGCTACCCATAGGTGTTATTTAAGCCCAATTGTGTAGTAGTGGCTTCTGAAATAGCGGCCTTCAAGGGCCCAAATCCCAAGAAGCGCCGTAATTCGGCGCAGCTCACTAAAACCTAGGTCAAGTGACCTAGATAGGGGCACTTCTACCAACGACCCTATAAATAGGGAGATATTTGCCCATTTTGGGGACACATTGAATCATTTATTACACCTACTTTCTCTCTCATCAGAGAAACACCTGATCTTGGAATCCAAGCAGATCCCCACCTAAATTTCCGTACTCTTTATTCTCTTTCAAGTTACTAACATGATCGTCGGAGGCGGAGCTCCACCACCCGGAGTTTCCGTTGTTTTTGCAGGTACAACTCAGCCGGACTAATCTTTGTGACGTAACTCTCCCGAGTGACAAAAACACCCAAAACAATTAATATTTTTTTATTATCGATAAGCAAAAATTATGAAAAGTTGATATTTTGAAAGTATAAAACGTGACGCATCTAACAAGATCTCACATGACTATATTTTTCATTACGTATAAAACACAAAATACGGTTAAAAGGAGATAGATAAATAGTGCTAAATTCAAAGTATATACTTAAGGATTTGACAAAATACTCCTTGACAACGAAGCTTCTCCGACATTTCATTGAGACTAAATTAAGTGATATAAGTCCAAAGCATTACCATGATGGTCAAAATCGTCATCATCATTTTTTTTTCTTTAACAAGAAAAAGGTCATCATTATTAGTTCTCAAATTTAACAACCATTGGTCGTCTATTTCTATTATGCGTTAATTGTCCCCCCCCCCTCCCCCTCCCCCTCCCTCGGTCCCTCCTCTTCGCGCCTTCTTTCTCACTCTTTTCCCCTTTCTCTGTCTTTCTGTTTAACAACCTATATAAAATTACACACTTTTCTTTCTTTTCTGTTTATTACACATAAAATTTATTCATTTCCATTAAATTTGCCCTTTTTTAATTTCATTTATTTTAAATTCCTTATTTACGTTCTCTATTTCATGAAACATGGATACTACAGAACATTCAGCTGCCACCCAGATTAATAATCAACAGGTAATCAATTTTTTTTTATATATTTTTATTTATTTATTTATTTTTTCTATTAACTATATTGAACTTGATTTATATATATATATATATATATATATATATAATCACTGTTATTGTTTCGAATAATAATAAAGCTATTAATGGTTGTAGGAATTATTAGAGAAATTAATTGTTTTTTTCTTCATAATTATTTATTGAATATGATTATGTGAATAGCTGGAAGATCACATGATGAGAGCAGGTTAATGGAACTGTAATTCGTAATTTTGTATTATTTTTTTCTGTCTCTGTCTGATTTATGAAATATGTCTGTTTTAGTAATGCTTAATATTTCTTGTTAAATACGAGTATATGATAGCTGAAATTCTGCGTTTGTATATCATGTACTCGTATCACTCAACTAATTGATTAATAAACGTTGTGGATGTCAAACTTAGCCCATATTGTGTGTGGTCACTTAAAAAAAAAAATTAAATAACCTACGATAATCAAGTAACCCGTATAATATTGATTGAGTAATCTGCAATATTGACCAAATAATCTCTATTACATTTAAGAAGTAACCCTTAATAATGGCTGGCATACATAAAAAATTTGTGTGAGTCCTTACCCATGGGTAATTCCAAGTTTCTCTTTTTGATAAACATGATAAGTATTTCTAAGGGATATTTTTGTCATTTTGGGTATGTAAGCGGGGCTAATTATGTAAATAGCTCTTAAATTGGCATTCTTTTCCTCTGTCCTTTCTCCTTCTTTCCTCCATTTGTTCTATATTCTCTCACCTACTTTAATGAATTTCAATGGAGAAATCAGAATACATGAACATCTTCCATGAAGGTAGAAGTCAAACCTTGCCCTAAAGGGTTAACCAAGTCCTAATTTCTCTATTTTTATTAGGGTTTTTCGTTTAATTCGGCGGCTTGAAAGGTTTAGAGGTTGAAGAAAATAGGGGACGACGGAGATGATGGTGGTTTAGAGAAACTCCAACAGCAAGCTAATTGCCAAATTAGCTTGCCATGCCACATAGAATTGCAAAGCTATTCTTCCTTCTAGCTAATTTATGCCACAATGGTTAAGCTAATTAGCATTTAGATTTTTCAGGTTTAATTTTTAAATAATTAGTATTTTATTAGAGACAATTAATTTTTCAGCTAATTAGCTTAGCTAAGCTAATTTGCTAGACATTAGCTTGGCCAAACTAATTATTAAATTATCCTCCAATGGTTTGGTTATTAGCTTTAAAATTATTAAAATTGCAAGCTAGTCCCTAAAATCAACCATTGGAGTTGCTCTTATGAGCAACACGATGATGGTAGTTTATGGTTGATAGTGGTTTGATGCCATTAATGGAGTACACTGGTGATTTGGTGAAGGGGAGTGGACGAAAGATTAGAAACAATAAAGTACAAAAAAAAAAATTTAAAAAGTTGCTTCTATGTATCAATATGCCATTTTGAGATATAATAATGTTTATCAATAAGAGAAACTGGGGCTTCCTCGGCTCCTTACCCACCGAATGAAAAAGGAAATAAAAATAAACTATCATTGTTTATTCTTACCAATTTTGATTTGACGGAGATGTATCATATCAAACCCTTTAATTCGATTCCAAATTTCTAATGTAATTGACTTTTGGCTGTTAGTGGTTTCTGATTCATAGTTATAGTGTATTTAGGGTTTAAAAAAAAGTAAACATTATAATATTAAGAAATTATTTTAATGTGTATTGCATATGCTCTAAATCCTATACTTAAAATATAATTTATTTAGTAACTTAAAACATAAAAATGGCCTTTCCGTTGATGTATATTTGACCTTTTTTTTATTTTTCTTGTGATCTTTTAACGCCTTTTGGCACACTGGCGGTCGCTAGGCCGCCATAATAGAACATTGTATTGGAAAGAGCCTTAAACTTGGGACCCTATTGTGTATCAAATTCTTGAATGGAATATTGTTTAGAATTCCGTTTCCATATAATATTTTTTTGGATGTTACATAGGATCCATGGTAGGAAACCATTTTGAAGCCATTTTTTTGGTTTGAACATGTATACAAGTAATCCTTTTGCTCTTTTCGTTATTTTATAATACTTCCTCCGTTTTTAAATATTTGCTCCACTTTTTTTCGGTCGTTTTTAAATACTTGCTACATTTCTGAAAAGCTTTTATAATATTTATCTCATTTTTTCTCTCACTTACTGGACTCAATAAATATCATAGTTTATTAATTTCATCCTCTCTCTCCTCCAATTTCTCCACTACTTTTGCTTTTTATAATTCTTTATTCTTCTACCAACTCCACTGCCTTCATATTTTATAACTTTTTCCAATTTCTCCTAAAACTCCACGCATGTAAAAATAGAGGGAGTAACATACACTATGCAGTGTACACATATATACAAAATATGTTGGCTTTTAAAACAAGAGTCGTTTTAAGGGTAATGCACTTGAATATAGGAACTGAAGTACGAAATTAAGTTTACTGAGTTGAAAATGTAAATATTTAATTTGAGTACTGGATTGCATTTTTTGAAAGGTTACATAACAAAAATTTGATATAATTGGGTGTTGTAATTATTGCAAATGAAATACTATAGAACAGAACTTAATTGTTTTTTGCTTTATTTGCTGGCTGGAAACTCAACTATTATTGTAGATCCTAGTCACATACTAATCTAAATCAACTTCATTTTTTTTTATTTTTTGGCTTTTGCTTTTGCCTTTCCGTTTTTAGCAATCGAAGCTTCAATTAATTGAAGTTTGAATAATTGTGTTGTGTCTTTTTACTTGCATATAATGTTTGTAATGTCATTTATTCCTTTTTTAATTTAAATTTTTTAATCAATGAATTATGCATAAAACATTATTACATCAGTCTTCCAGGCCATAATCAGTAATTTTTTGTGTTGTATTTCTCTAATGTGGATTAAGTACTTTGATAATGCTGTAGTGTTCAAAGATTTTTCATTTGGAGAAAATCATTGTGTTGTGATTCTGTATACTAGAGAGAGGTTGGAAAGTGTGAGATGTGCCAATATGGCTATATGTATGAAGAAGAGGGTGTCCTTTGTCTAGCAGAGGAAGTTAGTCTACCTACTAATTCATATCACAAAGTAAGACGAGGATATAAGACGTTTTCTTATACTCGAACGAGCTTCAGTACTATACTGTTTTCTGTAATAATTTGGTTTTGTCAGATGTCAATAAATAGCAGTCTATAATTTTTTTTTGAGATATGTATATATAGGAAAATATATTATTGTGATATATTTTCCATATAGATCTTATGATGTTATATTTAGGATAATAATATATCTTAGTGATATTCTAAGATAGATTTATGGAAGTTTATATGATAGTGTATATATTATGTAGGTTATCTTTTGTAGGCTATAAAAGATGACCTACACAATATATACTCTATCATATAAACTTCAATAAATCTATATTATTATCCTAAATATAATATCATAAGATCTATATGGAAAATACATCACATTAATATATTTTCCTATATTCCTAACAATGTCTTTCTCAATTTTGTTCATATTAACCCATATTCACTCTTGCAGATGGGAGAATCAACTGAAATTACTGAAGAAAATTCGACTGGCCAACGCAGTAGGCCACTCCCACAACATCTTTTCCTAGAAATACCATCAGAGAATGTTCAAAGTTCCCCAGAGGATTCTGTGAGAATAAATGTTCTTCCAACACCCAAAAGAGTGAATTTCTCTCCGATGCACAGCCCTGCCGTTGCTGGTTTAACCAGATCTTCAAGCTCCAGCATGCGTAGGGACAAGTCATCAATTAAAAGTCTCCTCCCTAGACTTAGTTTCAAGTTCAGAAACTCCTCTACAGAGATTGAAAATGCTGCCTTTCTAGCCCTCAGTTCTCCTTCTGCTGTGAGAGGGGGGAGGCCGCGAATGATGAGGACATTTTCTCTTTCAAAGCTATTTACGCCAAAAGGAAATAAAGCTTCATCCTTGCCTGTTACTCCAATTGCACACTCTAACCCAGGGTCCACTAATGGAAGCAATGTGAGTTATTGAATTACTATCTTGAGGGCTTTAGTTTTACATGGTTTCGTGGAATTTTTCTTGGTTGGATAATATAATTAAGTAACTTCTCATTTTGAAAAGATAAATAGATAATTTGCGTTTGGGGAAAGGGGTTTGACATTATATTGCAGATTTGCAGTAGTTTTGCATATAGTTCAAAAGCTCTGATTTCTTTTCACTGCATTAAGTAAATTTTTGATAATAATCTGTGATCTTTGTATTCCTTGGTACATAATTTCAGGTCACTGTAACTTATATAAATTACCTCATCCTGGTCTGTCATGGCCGTCTATTTTCCAGTCTCTGAGCTTTACGAAAAGATGGCTGGGTTATGTTTAATCAAAATTGATTCAGTAAAAAAGAAGTGAAAATTTAAGTTCACAAAACTGCAGTTCTTTCATGCACACCAGGTTTTGTTGCCCCAACTTCGTAAGATGAGATACGTTCAACTAATGCTATTTGTCAATATCTGAAAGGATATGCTTTAATTTTTGCAGTGCTTTAAAATTTAGTTCAATTCCAATGATTAATCTCATACCTATCATTACTTTCACGCATATTGACTGTTCATAATACTGCTGCATAAACTAACAAAAAATGGCTCTTACTTCTTCCCTTGCTTCCACTTTCTTTTTCATTAAGATAGTATATTTATAGGGCATGGAGGATACTTCTCACAGGAACTTCATCCATCCCTGTATTAGGTTCTTAACAGATTTCCTCACTTTACAGAAAGGACGGATCCAATTACCTATTCATCGTTCACATTCTGTTCCAGCTCTTACAAAAGATGGTAGTATACGGCAGGTGGATTCTTTTGGTGGGGTATTTCGTGTAGTACCAATAACTCCGCGTGCTAAAGATGGACCCCCAGTGGCGTCAGGTGCAAGTGCAAGTGCAACTGATGCTGATGGTATTATTGTTTGACTTTCTGCTTGATTTTTTCTTAAGCATAAATGTGATAAATTAAAATGTTGAAAACTTTGATTCAGAAAATGATGATGATGGTGAGGACATTCCTGAAGAGGAAGCTGTTTGCAGAATTTGCTTTGTTGAACTCGGGGAAGGTTCAGAGACACTCAAGATGGAATGTAGCTGCAAAGGTGAACTTGCTTTGGCTCACCAAGAATGCGCTGTTAAATGGTTTAGCATCAAAGGGAACAAGATTTGTGAAGTATGCCAGCAAGAGGTTCAAAACCTTCCTGTAACACTTTTGCGAATTCAGAATGTTCAGGCTCAACAAGGAAGTAATGGACAGCAAGCTGATATGACAGGTTTCAGGCAAGTCAAAGATCTCTAGTGTTTCTATTTTTTTTTTAAATGCAAAAAGGGAACGATTATATTGCATTAAGGCATTTGAAACACCTTGGACCTAGTTATCTTAGAAACAAAAGAGACACCATTGGTGTGAAGGGACGAAGCTATTGCACCGCCGATTATAATTATAATTATAATTATAATTATAATTATAATAATAATAATAAATAAATAAATAAATAAATTGAAAAAAATAATAAATAAATAGAAAAAATAATAATAAAAAAACTAGGATATAGAAGATGCAAAAATTGAAAACAAGTAGTAAGGTAGCTTTTGTGTAAAGCGGTATCACAAACAGCTAACTACTAAAATTCAGCAATCCAAAGGTATAAATCTCTGAAAGATCAGGTGGTGGATAAATGTGGTGAACTCTTTGTTCTCCTTGAGTTCTTCCTATATTAGCCAGTCAATGAACTATGCCATTTGCTGATCTCCTGGCATGCAAAACTGTCACATCCCAGTCTCTTTGAAGTAGTCCACTTTAATTTGTCATGTTGATCATGTATGCTGATAATATTACCTAAGATAATGCTTTTAAAAGTTTTATACAAATACTCATTAAAATTAAATTTAACACTCAACAATTTTATTTAATTTAACATCATAGAGTATACAAACACAGACATTGCATATTATTCAACAGGTCCTACACTTTGTTAAGAAATTTTGTTTGTTTATAAGCTACAGAACTTGAATTGCCTGAAATCGGTATATCAGTAGTTCATGTCTCCTCTCCATTGAATACAATATACAGATAATGATGTAATCATAATTGATTTATTCACATGGTTTGAATACATAAACATTTTGAATTTTTTTCTTATCAGGGTTTGGCAAGATGTTCCTGTACTGGTTATTGTAAGCATGCTTGCTTACTTTTGTTTCCTCGAACAACTTTTGGTAAGCTTTATGAAACAAGTATCACACACTTTGTATCAGTTGCTTTTCAAATCCCATCTAATATTTGTATTGTACTTGTGAACAGGTTAGGAGAATGGGTTCAGGTGCAATTGCCATTTCTCTTCCATTTTCATGCATTTTGGGTCTGCTTGCATCCATGACATCGACAACCATGGGTATGGAGATTTGATCTGAGAGTGACTTATGATTTGTTTCTTAAATAATTTTCATTTTGTTTATTTTTGAGTTCTCTTGTTAAAATCATGCCAACTAAGAAGTGATTTGACCTTTTGTGCAGTTGGAAGAAAATTTCTTTGGGTATATGCTGCAGTGCAATTCATTATGGTGGTTTCCTTTGCACATATTTTGTACTCTCTGGTACGATCTTCGTAAATTCTTGGTCTAAAAGCTTTTTAAAGTAATCCTAATGTTCTGTGCTTTCAGTTCAATGTTATCATACACTAACTACTAACGATCACACCCTGTAAGGGCTATAATACAAAAATACTGGGTATAGTTGCCAACTTTTCCACCATTGAACGGCCAGTACCGGATCCCATGGACTTGCCCTTCCATTTGTAGAATCCTGCTTAATTTAGGTGTTTTTGATGATCATAAACACTACAGTTAGTGGTTTACTGGCTTACTGCTTTACATCTTATAGTTTTGACATCGTTCTGATTCATCATAATCAAGTATGTAACCTCTTTTTTTTTTTAACAAAAGACCTTAAATAGCCAAGTCATTTCTTTTCTCTTGCTCCATTAATTGTGGAAAACTGTATGTGTGAATGTGACTATATGTCCAAAAATAAGGAACATTATTTGATAATGTGTTCTCTTAATTTCTGCCTGTACAGCTACACATGCAAGCAGTGGTATCAGTCATAATTGCTACATTTGTTGGTTTCGGAGTGGCAATGTGTGCATGTTCCATTATCTTTGAGATTTCGAGATGGAGAAGGATGTTGCAAGCTCACTCAAATTCCGAACCTACTGCTGTGGATGTAGTTCATGTACCAACGTCTAACACAGCTAACATAACACAAGCGACTTCTAATCAACCTGAAACTGTGTCCAATAATACCAACTCTCATCATGAAGGTTAAATCGCTTATTGAATGTACATAACTACATATCAAGCTCTTGTAAAGAAAATACTTTCAGAAAAAAGGCTTTTTCGTAGATAACTTACGTAGTGTTTCACAGCCTTCTCTGTGCTAGAGGTAAAATGTTTATTTATTTATTTATTTTTTTATTTTTTTTTTCTTTTTTTTTTTTTAATGTAATACGAAGTATTATGGATTGTTTGCTAGGAAGTAGGTTGGGAAGCAAATGTAAATCGATTGATGTAGAAAAATATGTCGCTTAGTTCGCTTAGTTTTCAGGCCTTATGGTCGATGGCGCCTTTGCCCACCTCCTTTGGTGGTGTTTGTTGTCTTTTTTCCTTGTACAATTTGGTGGCTTTGCAAATGATGTTTCGTGAGTGTAATCTGCATTTTAGAATTTCGTGGTGACATTTTAGAACTTTGTGATCTTTATTATTAGGTACATTTTATAATTTAAAATCTTTTATTTTCTCAAAACTATGATATAGTATCTGTTCGACATCGTCTTATTCATATTTTAATATAGGAGATTGTTTATTAATGTATCATTAAAAATTGTTTCAATTTCCTACAATAAATTGATAGGTTTTAGTTGTAAGATAGAAGTTTCTAATATTGAAATTTCAAAAATGTTAAATAGGATAACTCTAAAAAAAAATGACATCATCATTGCATTTCGGCGGAAAATTTTTTATTAAGAGAACGACATGTGGGCAGCGATGATGTCATCATGTTCTGTTTTAGTAACAGTTAATAAATTTGTTAACATTGTCTTGTTTATAATTATATACATATTGCTATGTAATCTGCAACTACTCCTGTCCCAAAATAACTAACACAGTCAAACTTTGCATGCATATATCGATTACTTAGTTTGACATTTTTTTTTTGGAATCTTATTTTTATAAGAGTAATGTTATACATAATTCTTAGGGCTACAAATAAGCATTTTATTGGTTGTTAATGTAGTCGTGGTGATTAAGACTACACTTGGTTGGGAGGACCCGTGTTCGATCCCTCGCAACAACAATTGGGAGGGGACTGGAACCTAACCACGCAGATTAACCAAAAGGGTAAACCAGGTGGAATACCAAAAAAAATTATCTTTCATTTTTTAGTGTAAGTTTAGAAATTCTTGATAAAATCATGGTAAATAAGTGTAATTAATGAATATATATGATCGCGGGTTAGATAGGTCGTTAAGCTACTACCCTAACCAAATTAATCATTTATAATACCTAAACCTACACTAAACTAGTTAGTGGCAAGTAAAGGGTCGAACCACTAGGGAAGCACGCTAATTCAACATCAAATATCACTAATGCAAGAGTGAAAATAAAGGGGATTGTTTTTGTTGGTTTTGTTGAGTAAGAACACTAAGACTACAAATAAGCAAGAAAATGATGATTAAAATCAATAGAAAATGACGCTAGGGATACGGGGGTGTCCAATATGATTGTTTGGTCATGTATCTGTGCAGTTTGTGAAAATGATACTAAAGTTAGGCCGCAAGGGCTAAGTGTGTGGAAAGATATTATTTGTTAAAAGAGTCAAATGGTGGTGACTCTTAGGCTTGGTAAGCTAATGATGTAGGGATCAAGCCCCCAAGTCTAGCTCTCAGTAAATAGGGATGAGCACAGGAGATCCCTTGATATGATCATGGTGTGAGTGTGTGAATGTGAATATGAATGCATTTTTATTACGGCCGCACCTCGATGTGAGGTTGCCTACGTATCCGTTAGGAATCAGGCCGAACGTAGCTCTAGCCGAACCTCGCACAAGTATGTGTATACCTCAAAAAGGTCTTTTTAAGGGTTGTAACGTGGTTAGGCTAATGGTTATAGAAGAAGAGGATAAAGCTCAAGACCCTATATAAGCCCCAAGGTGTGCAACCTTGCTTTTGAGTTCTTATATTTTTATGCTTGAGTTTCTACTCTTTTTTAGCTCTTTTTTGTGCTTTAGAATTTATTTTATTTTAATAAGTGTGGGAAATCCCGATCATGCGGTCTATCACTCACTTGGTATTCATGTTTCTTAGGCACGGTACCGAGCACTCGATAAGAGACGCAATCTGAGACGTGTTCTTATCGAAGATATTTTCATATCAAAGACATTGGAACACTTGCCCTTTTGTACACTTTTATTTATTCTTTGCTTTTATTTTTATTTTGATCTTTTGAAATCACTCAAGCTTTTTTTTTTTAGAATTGCATAAGTTACACACCATCCCATCCCAAGGTTAGGTAGATGTAGGTTTAAAAAAGAAAGGTCTATCGTTAGATGAGGCTCAAAGTGGTTTATGAAGAAAGGATTGTAAATTTGAAAGGTGAAAGGAGATATGATGTGGCTACAAGGGGTGCCTCAAATCATTGGTATACCTTGTGCTTAATTCAACATGGATTTATTATTATTATTATTATTATTATTTTAATGCAATATAATGAAATGATCATATGCAAGGAAATAAATGCTCATTTTATTAAAAGAAAAAAATAGAAACTACAAAATTAATCTAAGAGAAAAGAAAGATGCCTATGCTAGACTTATTGGGGAAAGGATAAATAAAGAAAAAAAGAAAAAAGATGTCATGAAATCTCGTCATTGAAGCTTGCCTCTGTCTTGTGTTGTTTGCTCCGACATCATCTAGTCTTCTCGCTAGCTAGAGGCAATGGGATCTTATTTGCCTCTATGATATCTTGAATGAGGTTTTGAAACCTGTAGCATTCATCAGTGGTATGACCGTTTCCTCAATGGTACTTGCAATAGGATTTTGGATTCCATATCGAAGATCGATTTTCTGGTGTTGGATCCTCGGTAGGGCCAATAGGTTTGATTAATCCTCAATCGTAAAGACGGTCAAAAGCAGCATCATAGGTCATTCCAATGGGTGTGAACTCTCTCCTGGGTTTCCTTTTAGATCCTTGATTGTCCATGGCTAAGACACCATTATGGTCAAAGGTACTAACATTATTACTAGAGTGGGCATTTTCGGAAGAAGAAGGATTGTCGTTCTTCTTTCCTTTCCAGCCACTGTGGTTACTATTGTTAGTAGCTTTTTGTTTTGCGAGGTCATCTTCGATTTCAATTCCGATGTCATAAACGGCCTTGAAAGTATTCAGAGTGTGTTGATATTTTAAATGCTTCAAATACTTCTCTTGGAGATTCTTGATAAACATCCTCACAGATTCTTTTTCAGTGGGCACCTCAATCATCTTAGCAGAAGTTTCCCTCCATTTATTAAAGAAAGAAGTAAAGCCTTCATTCTCTTTTTGTCTTAGCATCTCAAGTTGTCTATAGTTAGTTTCAACTTGAATATTGCACTTGTACCTATCAATGAAAGTGTTTACTATCGATTCCCAAGTAGAGGTTTTCTCTTTGTCAAGGGAGAAGAACCATTGTTGGCAAACGGTTTCAAGAGATAGAGAGAACAGAGAGGGGAAAACCTTCTTATCGATGCCCTTAATACACATTATGGTTTCGAAAGCTCTTAGATGAAAGTAAGGGTTATTTGTTGCCTTGAATCTTGGGATGTCAGTGGCGTTGAACTTGTGCGGAAGAAGTTCCTTGTCCAGCGAGACCCCTTGTGAACTCATGCCCTGAAATTTATAGTCACTAGATAGCTTTCTCAAACTTTCTTGCATGAGGTTCATTTGTTGTTGCTTCACAGGGTCATCAATTTTGAGGGTTAAAGCCTTTAACACCTCAGTCACGTCATTCAATTGATTCCTAAGTTCATTGACCTCTTCTTGACTTGCCATTATCTTTTTAGCCTTCCTCTTTTGACGAATCGGTTTATCAAAAAAACGAGACCTGAACAAAGGTGTTGTCCTTGATTAATCGCCCTTCTCCCCTCGACCAAGTACTGTGGAAAAGGAATTTAATTGGGGATATTTATTGTTAATTATTTGACTCAAACTTTATTCAACATGCAATGGATGGAGGAGGTGAAGAAAGATTGGAATAGAATGTGAAGGAAAATGATGTAGATGGAGGGGTATGGAAAATTAGGAATGTACCCCCCAACTCAAATGACGGAAAGACCAACTTATGCATGAACCTAAGACATGACCATGGTGACTTATACTCAAAGTGTGTGCTAAGACTAGTGAGTGTAGGTGATATGTTAAGACTCGTGTCATGAACATGTGGCTAGACTATGTGACTAGACTCAATTAATGACTTAACAGGGTATGATTGACAGCGAAATTTAACCAAATTATTTAGCAAACTGGTTAATTAGACACTAGGTGATGACTCGATCAATAATCCGAACTGCCGGCAAAACGACAGGACTGGCGTCGCACTGTGTAATGTAGCGCCAGACGACAAAGATGTCCCCAGGCGCCACACTTCACAGAGTGGCGCTACAGTCCAGACTTTGGCGCCAATGCTGGACCTTCGATTTGGGACTGTTTTCGGTGTTATTAATCAACAGGGGTATGCATAAAGTCGTACTAGGTCAATTCTGATTAAAATATTAGACTTTATTTACTCAAATTAATTAATCAATTAATTAATAAGGCAAAGTTCTTTAAGTCATTAATTTATTAAATCTCAGCACAAGTTAACAAACGGTTAAGAAATCATAGAATATATGCACAACAAATAATGCACAATTAGTCAAGTAGGCATAATATGATGCAATGAGTTTGCAACCTAACCATGGCTCTAGTTCTCTAAAGTTCAGGATATGGTTTAGTCAATAGAGGGTCCATGGTTAATTGTCCGGATGCACCGCGCGGAAGCCTAACCGTGAAGGGTTGGCGCGAGTGGATGGGACACCCGAGTTTTAGAAAAACTCGCTTCCATGGTTTGGTGAATTCAACATTCTCGGATGTACCCTTTGTTTCTCAGAGCGTTCAATCAGGTAGATGGAGCATGAATTCCCAGAGGGTTATGTCCATATGTAGAAAACATATGGGTTTCAGAAAAGTAAGAAAAAATTCAATCAGGAAGTAGGATCGAGCAAACAATACGAAAACTGGTCAAAATTAGAACGCATATTTCTGGCTCGGTATTGGAGGAATTTGGCGTCAGCAAACAGAGCTTGGCGCCAAGTTTTAGCTGTAGCGCCTGGCGCCAGTGCTGGCGTCTGGCGCTACATTAAAATTCTGGCGCCAATGCTCTGGTTGCTGACGCTAATTCCTACATGCCTCAGCAGCTTTCTGTGCTCGATAAAATTTTCCAGTTTCGCGCATTGTTATTTCGGTCCTATTTGTGAAAGATATTACTCAAATTTCCTACGTGTAAAATACTATGTTTTTAACTCATTACGGATGGTCTTTCCAATGTGATCTTTTTTATACATATGAAAATAATGTTAATCAAAATTACGCACATGAAATACTTAGAACGTTTCGAGTCTCATCCACTCATTCTAAATCATTGCCGAAACAA